TTTTAGTTTTGCAGTGGTTCCGTTGGAACAGATTACTGGCAGAATGAAACATATTTCCATGGAAAAATATGAAGTAAGATAATAGTAATTTAGAAACACGAGTCTTCCTAAATTTCTCAGAGAATTCTTTTTACTGGGGCAAATCAAGCTCTTTTCTGCTCCAGGGTTGTATCTCACCAATTACGAGTTACTGATTGTAACTCCTACAGGCTACTTGTGGAGTCATCACTCCACAGGTTTTTCACTTTCACATTGGTCAAAAGAAGGGCATTGCTGAGGAATTATGTTAACTCGAGAAGTTAATCTATTTATTATATCTGAAAAAATTACAATACTGTTTATTATACCTGAAAAAGGCAAAGCCACAGTTACCAAAGTTATTAACAGTATAGCAAACTGTTGCACACTTGGTTTGCTAAGGTGTATCTGTAAAGAAAAGAATACTGGCTCTTTTTTTTCCCCTTGAGTTTTGTTATTATTTGCATTTAAAGTACATTCCCCAGCATGCAATCTGGGAGCATCTTGTAAATTATCTAGGTGAACATAGCATTTAAATAGGGAAGGATCATTGTGCCTGGGCTCTCTCATAAAATTAAAAGACTAAGACCCAGGAGTTACCAGGCCAAAATTGAAATATAATAGGATTTCAACTTCTACGCTTTATTAGGCATTTGAACAGAAAGAAAAATATTTTAGTCTCAATGAGTCTGAACAATTTCTTATGGGAGTGAATTTTGTAGCCAGAAGTTGCCACCACAGTCACTTTCCTGTCAGTCCTGGAGAGTTTCACTCAGGCCTGACGGCAAAGTCCTTCCTGAAAACACAGATGGTTGTTCCCTCTGTATACCCTTCCTTCAATAAAAGTCTGTCTTGAACTGGTTGGTCCTTAGTCACCAGCACCTTTACCTGCAGCTGGAAATGCTTTGCTGTACAGTTCATAGGAAGAGGACACATTGGATATTTAGATATCTAGATATATTTAGATTGGATATTAGGAAAAATTTCTTCATGGAAGGGGTGGTCAAGCATTGGAACAGGCTGCCCAGAGAGGTGGTGGAGTCCCCATCCCTGGAAGAGTTCAAAAAACGGGTCGATGTGGCACTTTGGGACATGGTTTAGTGGGCATGGGGGTGTTGGGTTGATGGTTGGAATGATGATCTTGGAGATCCTTTCCAATCTTTATGATTCCTAGCTTTTTACTTTCATTATAAATGATCCAGCCACCAAGCCAGGAGGCGTGGGGTTGCTACTCTCCCCTTAATTGGTTTAGTGTGGACTTGGCAGTGTTAGGTTACCGGTTGGACTGGATGATCTTAAAGGGCTTTTCCAACCTAAACGATTCGATGATTCTGTGAAACAGATGTCAAGTTTGGTAGAGCTTATGTAAAAAGGTTCAGGGCTATGTTCATCTCTCACTGCAGCTTCTAAGTGGCTTGCAGCAGCCTCCATGTAGAACAGAAGAAAACTCAAGGTGTGGGACCTTCTAGATAAGAAGGATAATTGTGCATTCTGACTTCCTTGGTTATCTCTTGAGGAATAATCAAATTCTCTCAAAAGAGCTCTCAATTCAACAAATAATATCTTTTCAGTCTGCATGTACTCCAGGTCTACTGAGGACCACTGCATGCATCTGTGATAGGATCACTCTAGATGTTTGACCTAAGATCTGAGTAAGACGTGAAATACTGAGTGAGATCCACAGTAGTGGGGAATCGCAGCCACGCATGGAATTGAGCCATAAACTGCTTCTCAATACAGCTTTATGTAGGAAAGGGCTGTTAGAAACCTGTCTGAACCAAGTAGCCTATATAGGTCAAAAAGAATTTCTGAGGAAGCACAAGTACGAGGAAAATGTTTTCTTCTGCAGATAAAAAATCTTCCTGTAATAGAGTGTCATTTTCTGTCAATGAAATGAATCCAACACAGAATTTGTCAGTTGACTTGTGACAGCAGCAGACTTAAATGACTAGTAAGATGCTGTGAGTGGAAGCTGGTATGTATGCTAAGGAACAGGAGCTCCAGTGTTTGACGTGCTTCAGTGTAAATTTATTGACACGTGCACATTAGCTGCTTAGAGTGATACGGGGCAGAACATTCTACTTAAGTGAAACAATACAGCTCTGTTTTCAGTGTGTGTTAATGGCCTAACATTTGCATACCTAGCATTTAGAATCATAGAATCATTTAGGATGGAAAAGACCTTTAAGATCACCCAGTCCAACCATTAACCTACACTACCAAGTCCACACTAAACCAATCAAGGGTAGACCAGACTGAACCATGTCCCCAAGTGCCACCTCTGCCCGTTTTTTGAACACTTCCAGGGATGGGGACTCCACCACCTCTCTGGGCAGCCTGTTCCAATGCTTGACCACCCTTTCCGTAAAGACATTTTTCCTAATTTCCAACCTAAACCTCCCCTGGCACAGCTCGAGCCCATTTCCTCTCGTCCTATCGCTAACTACTTGGGAGAAGAGCCCAACACCCCCTCCCTGCCCCCTCCTGTCAGGCAGCTGTAGAGAGCGATCAGGTCTCCCCTCAGCCTCCTCTTCTCCAGGCTGAACACCCCCAGCTCCCTCAGCCGCTCCCCACCAGCCCTGTGCTCCAGACCCTGCCCCAGCTCCGTTGCCCTTCTCTGGACATGCTCCAGCACCTCAGTGTCCTTCTTGGAGTGAGGGGCCCAAAACTGGACACATTTACATTAATGTCAGTCACTAGATTGATTTGAGTAAACCTATGCTGTTTGAGTAAGCCTATACGGAGAAGTTCTTTTGGGTTTGGATCATCGCTGCAGTTGGTCAGTAGCTAGAAAATTGTAAAAAAGCATCTGTTGTAAATCCAAACATTTTCATAAATGCAAAGTAATTAAAATAAAGATAATTAACCTTACAACGCAATTGTAGCTATAAAGATATGTATAGATTTTACCCTTTTATCCAAAATGATTGCTGCTGGTATAGTTCTAAAGACGACATTGCTGCCGTTAGATGCACTGTTGATCCATCTTTTTTTGTGGTCTGTACAGTTTGCCTTTGCCGGGTCAGATGGGCTTTATCACAACACAGAATTTTAACAGCAGCTGCTGAAGCACAAACAAGAAATTCTATTGCCTGTCACTAAGATATTGTTTGCCATGATCTCAGTTACAGACAGGATACGTATTTTATAAACTATATACCACGTGCATTTAAGTAAATCCAAATGTTGTGCATTTTCTTGCATGTCATACAACTTGTCCCTGTCTTGTGATGTATATCCTTTTGCCTAGGGTTATCTGGTCACCTGCAAGAAGCATTCCCATAGAGAGATGTGGAAATGCTAAGCATTTGTATGGAAAACTGAGCTCATCCTTAAGACAAGGCGGCTTGATGTCACCTATCGAACAAGCCATCAGCACAGGCTGTGTGTCCAAAGGACGCGCTTTCTGCGCTGTTGTACAGTTTCTCAGTCCCTCGTTTCCTGATCCCATAACCTGTACGTAGTTAGGGTGCCTGGGAGCCGCCTCCGTGGACCGCTTCCACCAAGAGAAGGGAGAGCCGTGCTACCTGATGGCTTCCAGCTCGGACGTGTCCGGGAGCCAAAGCCAGGGAAGCAAGTCCTCTGATCTTGTGTAATAAGTGCTATTTGTATTTATGACATTATAAAATATTAGAAATGTATCTGCAGTTTTTCACCAGCTTCTACTTAACTCCAGAAGAAATCACGTTGAACAGTGGCAGTCGTTGTTAGGTATAATGCAATGTAAAGGCATCAGAATTTGATCCGTATGTGTAGTATCAATATCAGTATTCATAGGAACGATGTATCACAGATTTTATTTCACTGTAGAGATTGTGGAATGAAATGAAAGCTATGATATTTCTAACTGTGAATATATGATCAAAATGTAGTCTAGATTTTTACAGAGGTTCTTTTTCAATCTATAATTGCATTATATTTTTAAAAGATGTGGTTATTAATTCATTGAATAGAATGCATTGTCGTAGCCTTTAAAATAAATGAATCATTGCGTATATAGGAAGTCTAGGCTTGAAAATGCTGACCAAAATTGGAAGTCAGTTTTTCTATGCATTTTCCTCCTCTCCAAAGAAACAGAAAACACATGAAGTTTCCCTCATATAATTCACTCCTGATATTCTGCCCTGACCTGGCAGAGTAAAAGTATGATCTAGCATCCAGTTTACAACTACCTAACTGCATGGAATCCTTTTAGTTTCCAGCAGAGATATGCTGACAGAAGTTGGGGTTTTTTTCTTTCTTTTTTTTAGTTAACATTTTTACCCATATTTAAGGTAGCTTAGGAGATTTTACATTTCTGTCAATCTGTCGTTTTTTCCCGTAAGGTTCCTATTTAGTTCCAATGGAAGAAAGCTAAAGGGAAAGCAAAGGAAGATTAAATGTGGTTTTGGAGTTATATTTAACATGAAATGCTCTGGACCAAATGTTCTTATCCATACCACTATAAATATGGAAAGCTCATTGAATGAATGGATGCACTTCAGCCATACCACAGTAATGAAGACCAGAATTTGGCTCTACAATTTTAAATATTGCAAGTTACAAGTTATTTCGGGTCTTGAGACGTTACGCCACTAATGGTTTTTTTGTGCTTTACCTTCTTTATTTTTGAAAACCAGGAACTTACACTGGAGCTAAATGATTAACAGTTTGGTATCTTGAAAGATCCTAGGACGCTCAGGTTCCCATCTCGCACAGTTCTGTCTTCTAAAAAGGGAATTCTGAAGAATTCTGCTTTGCCATTGCAGAAATCTCAGCACTTTTAAACACCTCTCCTCTGGCTAATACTCTGTAGTCTGTTAGCGGCAGCACACGTCTCTCTGGACTTCTTTGAATCGAGGACGTACGCTGTTGAACTTTGCACTGTAATATTTGTGAGAAGAATGATCCCCTGCAGTTGGTTCTCTATCAGTGGAAGAGTAGCACAGTGGAAACTTGCTTTTTAATTGCGGTCTGAAACTTAGGAGAGCTTAATCCGAAAAATGCGGGCTTGCCCTGGTGAGCACAGGCTTCTTGTCGAAGGGTTATCTTGTGGCTTTGTCTGGCTTGCCTGCAGGAGGTGGCCGTCAAGCAGCAGCCCAGTGTGGCCATCGATATCTGCAAGAAGGGACCCGCTTTCAGGGTCTGGATCCTGTGTTTTGTCAACTTTACCGTGGCAAACAGAGTGGAGTTTTCAAAGCTGGTGTCGAAGTTTCATAAGGAGAATTAACTGCACCCCAAGAACCGGTGGCCAGAGCTGTTTGCATGATGCTTAGTTGTTGGTTATTTCCTTGCCGTCTTAAATCTTAGCACCAAACTGGAAGGATGCAAAAGCATTACATCATACATCATTAATTCGCGGTTTTCTTTACTTCTGTTATGAGAAAACTATCCAAGGAAAGTAGACAAGAAGGTGCAATCTTTTAGGCAAGCTGCTTTAAGCACTGTAAGGAAGTTCTTGTGAGAGACCGTAGATCTGCCAGTATACGGGTTACGTTAATATTGCCCCATATAAATACAAGCTGTAATCTTCATTTGTGCATCGTGCAAACAGGAAAGCTGCAGGGCCTTACCACCGGTGCTGTTTCTGGCTATTGCTTACCATTCCCAGAAGTTGTGTGGGAGCAGAATGCTAGAGAAGAGGCAGTTTTCAGGAAGAGCCGAAGCTCCCAGGGTACAGTGGCAGTGATCACTGCAGGACTGACAAACTGGCCGAGAGAAGCCACCGCTTGAGCTGACAGATTCCAGACTGTGCTCTTCCCTGACTCTGTGAGTTGCCTGCCTACCTCTCTGCCCTGGTCTTCCAAGCAGGCCAGCGTTGGCCGTGCGAGGACTTCTTGTCGTCCTTTACGCTTCAAACAGCTTACCTCTAACCAGTTAGGATCTAAGCGCTGCTGGTTTTCAAGAGCTGTTTATCTTTGACTGGATTCCTACATGCGTGTGCTCTGTGGTGCGTTGAGATTAACGGTGCCCGGTGCTTTCTGCAGCGGCGTTGAGCGGATCATCTGAACACGCACAGTGAGCTCGGCAAGAATTTTGAGACTAATGTCATGGCAGCCTGGTCAGGGCTATGGAACACTTGCTCCAGCTAGGTTGCCATAATTCCAGAAAATGTGAAAAAATCCTGAAATTCACCAAGACAAAATTTCCACTAGCAGAAAGAGGGTGTTTCTGCAGAACCCCCAACGTGTGGTGGCCCTCTGCATGACGGAGGAGGAGCGTAGGGGAGAGGTGCTTTACCTGGTGAGCCCTGTTCTCAGCTGGGAGATGGCAGTAGCAGCTGTGAGGAGACTTCCAGGCCCGCTGCCTCCCAGCTGAAATACAGGATTGGTTGCATCCTGATCTGCCATTTGATGAGATTCAAGCCCAGGTTGAATAATGACACACACAAGAATGGTGGAAAAACATTTATGAGGAAGAGGCACAAACTCAGTCTGCTTATTTCACAGACTGAATGGTATGTAGGTTTCTATCAAAAGCAAATTTTTGTAAAGCAGCATATTAAATCTTATACGTTCCTGCCTGGTTCATCTAAAGACTTCTGAAGTCTTCTTTACTTTTTAACTATTGGTCGAAGTGGCTATCTGAAATCTTTTCTACAAATTAACAAAACAGTTTCTGTTCCTTGTGATCTATAAGTATTTAGTAAGTCAGCCGTGTTATCGTTGGGGATAGACTAATTACCTTTTTTGTGTAAGTTACTTCATATACCTAGTCATTTCTACGACAAGGTATATTTCTAGAAATCCTTGTCCACTAGCTAGTGTTTTCGCTATTTACATTTTGTGGATCACAGTTTACGGAAATAAATGTCATCTATGGACTATTAACAAAATGTTTATTCTAATTATTTCGAATTTGTGATTTGTGGATTGTTCTATTATTATTCTGTTTCTTGTCTGGAACCAGTTTTTTAGCAGCAGAGCTAGCAGGGAGTAATGAATAATCTTGTTTAGGGATGAATACTCTCCCAGTCAGCCAGGCAAAGAGCAGCCATTATTCTAAAAAATAATGAAGAATCTGGTACAAATTATAGAAGAGAGCAAAGAAAAGAGGAATGTAGCAGTGGTTGACTTATACAGCGACTTGGAATTTTTCCTAATATTTCCAGTGACTAGTTCTACATTACTTTACTGGTTCAAATTATTTGAGGTACTGCAAAAATAGCCATCGGTTACCAGAAAAAAATGTGTGGCAGTTCCTTCAGTATGGTAGTAACTTGACAATTGTGTGGAATACCTATAGAAAATACATTATATCCATTAAAATTATTGAGTCAGTACTTAACAGAGAGGTAAGACTAATGTTTCAGAATTTGCACACTATTGAAACTTTTCTTTTGAGAATGTTTAAATATACTTTCTTGAATCTGCAGGATATGTAGATTTTACGTAAATTCCGGTGTATACTGTAGTATTCATTCAAAATGCATTAGCTTGCAACAAACACTGGCTGTTGGGTTTATATTTGACCACACGGTCTGATGGAAAATGGAAATGAGAAGTTGCATGGTGTGAAAAAATATTAAAGAAGCTCACAGGCATTTTCTTGGAATATATTTTAAGACAGAAGAAGTTATGTGCATTCTAGGCTGATTAGGAAAACCTCAGATTTTGTTTTTAAAGAATATACTTTTGGTTTTATTCCAAGATAGGTTTAACCACAAGGTTGAGTTCTTCATGTTTGGCAATGCCAGGAGGTGAATAGGATGCTCTAGTTAAACTTCACGTTGTTCACATCAGTTATTGGTACTGAATATGCTGAAGTGACTTCTGAGATAGTACAGTGACAAAAAAATAGTAACACTGCCTAGAACTGTACAAATAGTAAGAAAGAAGGTAGAGATGTTTCCATTGGTGACTCCAGTTGGAATATCTCTTTG